CACCCCCCCCCCTCTCTCTCTCTCTCTCTCTGAAAATGAGGTTTTCAGTTACATTCACAGCAATGCTAAGCTTGTCAGCATTCTCATTCAACACATTGGCATTCTGTTTAACACGGGCTGCTAAAGCTGCCTATGATCCATGGGAAAACATTTCTACTGCTATTCATTACTTGAATGGCACTCTAAATCAGCTTAGTCCATTCTGTCGCCTTCCAGTATGTTGGACTTTGACTCCCATGATCCTTAATCAGGTTAGGAATTGTAATAGTGGTAATCTCACATATTGAGGGAACCAGGTTGGGAAAGGCTGCAGTAGCTGCTCTGGAAATGGTTCTTACATCACCTCTGCAAAGCAATGTGCAGGTATTTGTTGCTCACCAAAAGCAGGAGGGTCAAAGCTCCCACCTAGGAAGGGAACAGACGTTTGAACCAGGACTCAGTTTCTTAGTAATGGTTGGATATAGCCACCATGACTTGAACTATTATCCCAAGCAATAGTAATAAAATACACAACTACCACATCCTTTAAAACAAATGTTGTATTATTAAAACAGTAGCCTGCACTGTTAGGTTGAAAATGAGCCTAATTCCCAACATTAAATACAGTCCCAATAAAAGCCGAGATAATGAATGTCAAGGGGAAGGCCTTCTGTAACTGTGAGAAGGCCTGCCTTTGTATCTTCCCACTCTAAGCTTGGAATGCAAGTGTGAAATTCAAAAGAGCAGTTGAACATAAGCCCACGTTTATTACAGACTGTGTGTGTGTGTGTATGTGTGTGTGCGCGTGCGTGCATGCACCTTCAAGTCAGTGTTGACTTCTGGCGACTGCCTGGACAAGTCCCTGCAGTTTGCTTGGCAAGATTTTGTGATCGCCTCCTTCCTAGGGCTGAGAGAGAGTGACTGGCTCAGGGTAACCCACCTGGCTTTGTGCCTAAGACAGGACTAGGATTCTCGGTCTCCTGGATTCTAGCCTGGTGCCTTCACCACTACACCAAACTGGCTCTCATTACAGGCCACACCCGTTCTGAATTACAAGGTACCCTTGACTATTTATCCTTGGTGATGTATATACACCATGCTTTTATCCTGAAGAGATCTCAGAGTGACAGAGCCTGAACTTCCAGCAAAGGGATGTGATAGTTGGTGTTGTTGCTGGGGCACCTCAGAATTGTTGGAATATCTGCTGGCTTCAGGAAACAGCTGTTTCCTGTGTCATCCCTGCACTTTCCATACTCTTTTTCCTGTTGATAGGTACTGAAAGAAAACTCCCACAGTGATGTCACTGCCCTTCCAAGTTCATTTGCTCATTGAGTACAGAATCCTGAAAAGGTTCGATGTTTATCTTAAATACACCTTTGGCATCTCTAGCCAGGCTTTATTTTGTGATTTGTATTCCAACACTTCCAGATCCTTCTCTTTTTTTCTGGGAGACAGCTGTTTTTGTTCTTCTAAATAGATTGCATTTCCCTTATACAAGATTTATATCCTTAATACTAGCCTTATGGCCAAATGCTCATTTGGTCAATAGACAAGATGGATGGGTTAAGCTATATGCTCCATAACTGCTGGAGAGCTGGTATGGTCAAGATGGCAGCCATTCAGAGTACAGGCAGTGCAAAAGAAAGTTTTTCTTCTTGATCATAATGTTCGTTTCAAGGTGCCTTTCCAGTTTGTAAGCAGGAAACTATTTTGGAGCACCCAAATTGAACTTACACCAACATTTCAAGCATCTTTCATGTTACGAATGCTTCCAAATAA